CACACACATATATATATATATACGTACATCCATACACGCTCATGTTTGCTTACTTCGTTCATGTGTTTGTTGAAACTACTCATTTATTTATTCTACATGTAAGACTGGTCCACAGGCCACAGGGGCCTGGACTTGGTCGAAAAGTGTCTCAAGCCCACGCCGAGGACATGCTTAGTTTGTCGCTGGCCTTGGGGCTCCAAAGTCCCCAATCCATACCCGGCAACGGAAACCACCACGTCAAAGACGTCCTTGGCTGGGCATTTGTTGCAGATTCCGAAGCCCCAAATGGGTCCGGAGCTGCAGCGAGATGAAGAGAATGAGAAACCCCCATGCAGAGCGAGGAAGGTAGGATCCTTCTCATGACAAAGCCTCCAAACACTCCCCGCTCCGCTATCGCCAGGAGGCTGGAGCCATCGCCCCGAGCTGAAAGGCCCCAAAGCCACCCATGCTGTATCTGAGCACCGCGGTGGAGTTAAGTAGGGTCTAGGGATTCTGGTGAATCTGATTTAGAGCACGAGCTTTCAGACAGAGCTTGCCAGCACCCCAACTTCCACGGATATTACGATTCCGTGCGGCCCAGCGACCCCATCACCAAGGTTCTCTCTGCTTGAAAAATGGATGCGATCTCGCTGATCTTTGCAGTGAGGTCGCGCAAATAGTCCTCAACAAACACACGCGGACCAACCTCTAAACCTGCGATGCCCAATCTCAAGCTACCTGGGGTCACACAGCCAGCTACATCTTATTTATAACAAGCATGCAGGAGTCCAGATGCAGCGCGCCGAAGACGTAGCCTGCGAGCAAAAGCCCAAGAGAGGCATGGGTACAGTAGTATTACGATGATGATGCTGACAGCGATGATGATTGCTTTTCTGTTCTCATGGCCGCACAGCTCTGCCATCTTCCATAGAGGCTTCATTGCCGTTGTTCTGAGTAGCACTCTGATTAGAATCTAGAACGTGAAGGAACCTCCTGAGAGACACCCCTTCCAGGCGCATGGGAGTAGACATCCTCACGCTTGAATGTCGCATGCTCAAGGCAACAGCTAGCGGACAATGTGATAATGCAGCGAATGCCTAGCTGCTTCTTGTTGTCGCTCTTGGTGAAGCAGCACCCCCAGTTGAAGTGCCAGCCATCAGCTGTCGTGTTTGGGCTCTTTGGAACCTTGATCGGCGTTGGGCACATCCGCTAGTTCTTGGAACAAGAGACCCAAAACCGATACGTCAGCCTCACACGCTAACCGAACTGACTGTCTGATCTGCAGCGGCACCATGAAAATCACGCGGCGGTTCATTCTAGTCTGCATCGTCCGCAGGTACGCGGGCTCGATCATGCCGTTGTCCTGCACGAAGTCGCAGGATGAAACATAGCAGACGCAAGACAGCGTGCAGATGCGAGATGTCCAGAAACTGCGGAGTGCCGAAACAGATGCATGACCAAACTTTGTTGAAGCACCGGCATTTTTTGTTGTGAGAGGAATTCGCAGTACCCAACCCTCGCTTCGACCACAAACAGAGTCAGTCCATGCCGTGCAGCCAGACGAACAGGTAGGGAGCTTCGCGCTTCCCATCCTCCTTCAGCCCAGCAACTGCCTCGTAGACCTTAGTGTAAGATCTGCTTCGCTGGCTTCTTGCACGATAGCACACCATTGAACTCACGACGTCCTGCACGTCGAAACCCTGCGAACTAAAGATCTTTCAGAACTTCTGGCCTTGTACTGTGTCTTCCCATATCCCTTGCCTCCACGAGGCACATTGCAGGAGTTTGGCCCAAACTACATACGCTTCATGTTTTGTGGCAGTGTCAGACAAAAGGCATGCTCCACGTGGCACCAGGAATTGGCAGGAATCTCTCCTAAGCCCTTCCGACGTTCTTTGCTTAGGGTTGCTACCGCCGCATGTCAACTTCAAGGGAAGCTTTTTCGAAGCTCATGAAAGTCCCTGCCTTCAAGCGTTGCTTCCACGATGAGGCGGACCCCAGCAGCACTGTGCTTCTTTTTCATCGCATGGTTAAAGATTTTGCTCAAGAGCTCAAGTGCAAAACCTAAAGATGTCTGAAAAGCAAAAAGGGCCTTGTTACCTTCCATTGGTCATATCTGACATCCAAGAGATGTTTCTCTCACTGTTTCGTGCTGTATTCCGCGCACACGCAAAATCTGATTTGAACATTATAATAAACCCCAAAAAGCTGGAAACCGGATTAAGGACAATAAGTGCTGGGATTCCCTCTACATTAGTCTTCAGGATTGAGGCTATTGAGTTTCCAACTTTTGGGCTTCTACCTTGGTTAGTTCTCAGGGAAGCATTGTTTCTGTGCAACTAGCTTCTGGTTGGCCACGACTCTGCGTCGCTACGCTACCTTGGTCTCTGGAGCCAAGGGTCAGTGCAAAGACTTCTGGAAAGAGGAATCAAACAGCACTGGAGAGTCGGAGAATCGACCCAAACGAAGCTTCTTGGATGGCTTGTTTCAGCTTCCAAGAGCCGTGCCCAGGAATTAGCAACGATGTATTGCGAGAACGTGGGACAAGGCCTTCGTAGATTGGAAGCTTCGGGATAGTGCTCAACATAGTGTATACCATTAGTGGAACCTAGTTGCGGCAATTATGCTAGGGTTCCCACATGAATCCGATCCCTGGCTGGACTGAAGAACCCTGAATACGTGGAAATGCATTCCTCGTCAATGAATGCTTCATCGTATGAGTATCTTCCCAACCTGTCCTGTGAAGGGTTGGTTTGCAAGAATGGCCAGCAGATTCAAGGCCGTGACTCTAGGTCTGCATCATTCTTGCCCCACATGAAGCTATGGAAGCTCTCAACCCAGGCCTAGGCTGGGCTTGTTTGGGGTCCCCGTTACCGAAGAAGGCCTTAGGCTCGTGCTTCTGCTGTGGCCGGTAAGGATGCCACGGTGCAAACATCAAAATCCTGACGCAAGGACGAACCGAACTCCTAAGCCCAAAGCCTCGACAGAACGACACTACACGGAGCTTGTCTTGATAAAGCTGCCAATAAAGCTGCGCAAAATCGAAACACCTCCTGACAAAAGATGCCCCCAGCTTTTTGCCGCTGCCTCACACTTCTGCCTCAGGAAAGTCGTATCCTTGGGTTCTCCTGCAAAGTTTGTGCGATTTAGGGGTTCAGATAGTTTAGGCGTCGGCGTCGAGGGTCGAGGAGGTGAATGCTTGAGGTTTCTGCTCTGGCGGGGATTTGGGCCTAGGGCTTCAGCTTGGGATTCAATGGGTTTTGGTTTGGGGCTTGGGATTTCCGGCTTAAGATTTCGATTCCGGACGACTTTGAACATCCTGGCCGTTCGGACAAATGCCGCGACGCGTCTGAATAAAACCCGTCTGCTGCACTCCGACTGGTTCCTGAGCCTAAGTCCCACAACGCTGCTCTGGCCTCAGCTTCTTCAGCACCTCGCACAGGTCGGCTGCATACTTCAGTGGCGACCACACGACCTTAAGATTCAGGACTAAGCCTCGCGAACACCCTGCATCGCACAAAAGCCTACACCACAAACCCCGCTTCAAGTCCGAAACCGCCTGCTGTCGAGATGCAACCGGCTCACTGGACGGACATGTCCAGAGGATGAACCTGACCTGCGCGAACGACTCCACCCGACCAGAAGATGAGTCAGGTCTGGCCATTAAGCTCTGAACTTTAGGGTTTGAGGCTGCGTGCGGGGCCTCCGGGCAAACTTTTTCGGAGTTGGAGTCCTAAAGGATTGTCCTAAAGGATTACTAGAGGATCATAGCTTTGCAGTCTGCAAAGTCGGTCGTCTGGTGGCTGCTGCAGGTTTAGGTTTGAACAACACTGGAATCACGACGGGGATAAACCCCCTTGAGGCTGTAGGATGCACAATATGGAGATGGCTTCATGATGCCGCCGACGACGACGACGACGACGACTACTCCTGCCGCTGTCGCCGCCGCTTCTGCTGCCGCCGCCGCTGCTGCCGCTGCTGCTGCTCCTACTACTACTACTACTACTACTGCTACTACTACTACTACTACTACAACTACTTCTACTTCTACTTCTACTTCTACTTCTACTACTGCTGCTGCTGCTGCTACTACTACTACTACTAC